AAGACTCAATGTTCAGTGATGATGTTGAAAGAGAAGAATATACTGCTCCATATATGTTGTCAGTCAATTCACTGTTAGTCACTGATATGCTCTGATACGAACCAGTATAATATAGCCCAAATTGTTGGTTTCTCGTGGACTTTATATTAACAAATTCAACGTTGGACATTCTGTAAGAGTTCTCCTTCCAAACCAAACCATTGTCATGATTCCCAGATGTTTTGATATTTTCCAGCAAAACCTTTGATGCATTTCCTATCACATCAGGTTCATCGAAGGTGATTCCATTCTGACTGGAACCAAATGATTCTATGTCGTGAAATATGGACGGCATGATTCCTGTGATGTAGAGTCCAAGAGTTGTATTAACTAGGGACACGTGTTTCAAAGTAGACACTTTGTTAACACTTGCTGTACTTAATAAGCCACCGCAGGTGATACCAACATCCTCATTGTGGCTGCAGGTATGGCTTCCCCAGCCTCTGTGTCTACATTCGAAAAGCGATGTCTCACTTCCCTCACACGCCATGTCATCTAACCATATAGGGCCTGCACCACCACCAACTGTTCTGTAAGTTGCCCCCTCTACTCTCATACCTTAAATGAATACAACATACATGAAACAAATATGTATTACAATTAATTATATAAGTAAGCTTAATATATATTAAAAAACAGTTTAATATTAAGATCTAGCACAATAAAAAGTGTGCATACCTAGATGTCTACAAGCAACCTTAGCATCATTTATATCGAACCAATCGTCACATACAGATCCCCACTGACCATTATAGAATACTTCAAGTCTTCCCGAGGTAGTATCACCTACCAATCGAAGTTGTCTTTTTTCGTAGGCAGCTACTTCTGCAAAAATTAAGTGATCTTTGCATGTAGTAATTCAATTTAGGTGTTTGCATGACAATCAACCAGGTACAAGATACAGTCTACTTTTGGAACGTCCCCGTAACTGTTATTCATTCAAGCAATTAAGAATTTTGTATCATCCATTGGAATCTTAAAGGCATGCGCTGGTCGATACATATAATACATGAAAGTGAGATGAGTACATGTACATTTAAAAGAACAGGGAAAGCATCAAAGGAGATGCCAGACAGTAATATGTTGAATGTTGGCTAGAGATGTTGAGACTTTAAACAACTGCACCTGTTAGGCCAATGTGTTAACTCCAGACCAATCACTCGTAGAGATGATAAAGATTCGGACTTTGAGACAGGGAAGGTGCAAACAACCCACTAACATATTTGGTCTTAAATTTTGTCCTGCATTTCAGCACTTTCCGGACCTGTTTTTCAATGACTGATGCTTCGGAACGTTATGTTTCGAGGGACAGTAATGCCTGGGTCACATTTGCTCCGATCCATCGGCCGGCGACCGGCCGATTGAGTGTTTTGCTCAATATTGTATTCAGTTTTGAACAAAATACTCAATCCGCCGGGCGCCGTAGTGAAAATCGGAGTAAATGTGACCAAGGCATTAACCTCTTAAAGGATAAGGTATATCGTCGATGCCTTGGTCACATTTAAACTAAAGACCTTTGGAATAAGAGAGCGCGTCAAAAGTTCAGTGTAGCAAAAAAGCTATATCTTATCAGTTAAAGACACCCCCCCCCCTTCCTCCTTGTTAACAAACTATGTAAAATGTTAACTTGTGCGTTTTTTTACCCAAAAAGATATCATCACATACCTTGCTGACGGGTCTTTCATATTCATTAGATGGGGTCTTACATATTGAGTTTGCAACAATAGTGAAAAAGAACGTCTAATTTGAAAATAATCCCTTATTAATTTTAAGAAATTAAGAAATATAAATAAAGTTATGTACGCATATGTGCAAATGAGAAAGTAAAAGGGCCAACATTGTAATAGAACAAAACAAGAAAATGTAAACCTCTAAGTGTACACCAGATAAAGAAAACAAAGCTCATAAATTCTAAATCATAATCTAACATGAGAGAAATGGGTCTAATTAATACGCCCTCGTCCCTACCATTCAAGTTACATTATCAGAACCTAAAAGCATTAAGACATTGGGCATTTAATGTACACAAAACAGACGCTGATTTATAAATATATAGAATACAAACATACCAATTGTGTCTCACAAGTTCATTTTTGGTACAGTACATAAACATGTACTGGTCAATAATCGCACTGTGATGGCTGAGACACATTTGTTATGTTTGAATTTGATCTCCGTATACTTGTACGTACCAGTCGTGATACTTATACCAGCCCACTTTACGGCAAATGTACGAGAAATGCATAAAATTCTTCTTTCTGCAGTTCCATTCAAGTGTATTTCACCTAAATAAAAATAAGTATATCAGCTTATCAACCCCTTAAAGCTATAACAGAATCGTTTGGCCCATCGTGAAATATGACCTCTCTACAACTTTTATAGCATGACTATACTAATGTGTTTACACAGGGACAAAATGATGTTAAAATAACAGTGTATGTCTTCAACACACTTGGCTCACCTTTTACTTGAATGCCAATGTTCTCAGCAAATTTAAGCACAACACATGGTTCAATAAGCAAAGAAGCCTCCTCCATAACCACAATGTCTGACACAACATCATACGGACTGTCATCACATTTGAGAGTCACGTTTCCCGTAATTTCCCCTCCAATACTTCCATCTTGTCGAAAAAAATCCTCTTTGGTTGACACGTCTGAGTAATTATGTGAGAGAAGATACGGACGAATGTCTAATTCACCGACGGAAGGGTCTCTCTTGTTGTCATATATGCTGGCCGATATTTGTGACTGCTCTTTACTGCCCCACCAGTTGAACTTGGCATTTATATCAGGACCTCCCTTTGGAGACATTACCTTTACAAAAAGTACACATATTGTATATGCTTCTTGTATATACAGTAGGTGTACGATCGATAGATTAAAAGCACATTGAATGTTAAAAATACCTTGAAAGGAGCCTTAATTTAAATTAATATAAAATGTATATGATTTAATTAACAACAATATAATGTGATTGGATGGGATGGGATGTAAAATACCTTAACATTGTAATAAGCTTCTCCTTGAATGTTATCAAACAAGTTGTAGTTCAACAATGTACCCGACTGGACTCTCTGAAGACTCACGGCATTATTGCTGTTATTCAAGAAGACGTTGTAGCTGATGGTGCAGTTGTTTCTTGTACTTGGATTGATAATGACATTGTCGCTTCCAAAGTTGTAGAGGAACCTATTGTTCATGATTCTCGTGCCACTTGTAAGGTCAGATGTCAGGGATAAAGCTCCGTTACTCTCGGAGATCACATTATTGATAATATCAACGGCACTAATCCCGGCTTTTAATCCAATCACACATGCCACACGATTCATTCCATGTATAATGTTTCCCTCTATTATGATTGAAGAAAAATAGTTGATATTTGACAGATCCATAGCATAGGTTCCTCTCGAACTTGTTGATCGAAATGTGTTGTTAACAATCGATATATTGGAAGACTCTTCATAACCAAATCTTGAAGATTGTGTATTAATAGTAACCATCCCGTAATTGTAGCGTGAATTGTAGTCCATAAATGTAGTGTTATATATTGAAATAGTTCTTGGTCCGGAATTGGTCCACGGGGTGTAGTAGAATACACCATACGAATACTGGTTACGGGTTCTTTTGATAATACAGTCTCCAAGTTCAAACATACCATGTCTTATGTAGGCATAAATGGCGTAAGATGAGTATTCCGAAATTTCACAGCCACGAAGTTGGATATCAGTGTGACCACTGTAATAAATGTAAACACCATGACTGGATAAATCTTGAATTGTTACATTTTCAAATACAACACCTGCTTTGCTACTACCTCCATATATGTACACAGCTCCATTGCCACGTGTGTTACGAATGTCGACGTCCTTCATTGTTATGTTGAAAGTTCTCAAGATCGAATTACTTGACGTTTTAATGTGAATTCCAGTATTTGACGATGTGTCCATCTTACTGTTAGTAATATTAATGTTAAGGTATTCGGTTGTAGTATCAGATACATATATGGCATAGTCTGTGTTTGTGATCGTTACTCCTTTAAGAGTAATGTTCCTGCCTTGGCCGTGGATTCCATATGTTGAGCCGTCTAACTGGACATTATTGAGAATTAAACCTTCAAAAATAAAGATTCAACAAATTACACTTGTTTTCAAAGGAATTGGTTAATTTTATTTTGGTTTAGCAATGAAAAATTGAAACTAAAGCATAGGTAATATTATCTTACCGATAGATGATGGAGATCCTATGCGAATTCCTCCCCATTTACCCGTGGGATAATTTCTTCTCATCAATGTTACATCAGTGTCGCTTTCTCTAATGACCAGTTCACCTACATGAAATATGTATTTCTGTTATGCTATCTAATGATAATCTATCTATCTGTTATGCTAATCTACCGATTATGAATTTGGCAAAAAGGGATTGTTTCGTATTTAGTTTTATATAATATTATTTACATAAATTTGATTAACAATTTAAGCAAACTTTCATAAAACTGACGGCTAGCTAAGGAGTGAACTGAGAAATGTTTTTAATACATAAATGGTCAAGGGACTGGTTCAAACGATTATAAGGCTATCAGAATAACAAAATACGAATCGAGATGCGTATAGTAGAGTGGATTAATCATAACTTACCAATTATATAAATTCCGATTCCTTGGCCAAAAGACAGTTTAACTCCAGATTCCACAGTGAGAGTAGCATTTGAAAGTATAAATATGTTGCGTCGAACGTGATAGGTATGATTAAAGACATATCGAATAGTTTCATTGTTCAGTAGCATGCCACCAATAGCACCTGTTGCATCAGAAAAGTAGAAATCTACTCCTTTATCTTCATTCAGTTCAGTCAAATTGCGGTCAGTGTAAAAAGGCGAGACAGTGACATGTGCAAGATTCATATCCCTGTTGTTCCCACATACTCTATGTTTCACATCACCTGGATCAGACGAGCCCCAATAGGAATATGGGACATTAACGATTAAAGCTGTTTTAGATACAGAAACATATAATGCACACTGATCAACGCTTTTGAATTGTTCAAAAGAATTGTTTGCCATTATGAAATTGCCCGTGTCTATCCATAACCAAGGGGATGCAGCAATGTTTGTAAATTTGTTTCTGAAAATATGGAATTTTCCATTAGTATTCGAACTGGTCAATTGAACATCAATGTACCGACTATCAGCTCTGTTGTTTTTCATTGTATTGTCTTCTAAAAATACGTTTGTATTATGGTAGGCCCTAACCAACATAGATTTGAAGCAGTTGGTGAAGACATTATTTGTTATTGTAATATTCAACTCAGACTGTTTATAGTTATTCTCTATTTGCAACGAAGGGTATGAGGTTGCAATGTCCTTGAACACGTTTCTGTCAATACGTATTTCGTCTCCATCAAAGGTGTTGGGGTGCAAATGTAGAGCGCGACTGTTGCTTTCTCCCACAAACGAATTGTTAATCAGTAGAAAACGTCCTCCTCTATAATTGTTATCTAAGTTATAATATATGGTGTAATAGTAGTTATATTTCATTTTTGTGGAATCGATTGTGGTATTCCCACTAATTCTGTAAATATAGAGCCCGTAGTTTCTATTTCCCAGGATGTCTGACCCATTTATTTTGATACTCCCTACTGTTTGATACATTTCTAGACCCCTTTGAGCATTATGTGACAACTCCGAGTCTACAATTGAGATATTTGCGTGTGTGTCTCTGCAATATATACCAGAGCTTTGGCTGCCCGTAATAACTGTCCGTTTTATTGACAGGAACGGATTAGTGACGCTACCCTTGAATTCAATGCCATGTCCGCCATTATTTCCTATGTAGGAATCAGATATCATTGTAGAGTTGGCGAATGATCCTCCATCGGTATACTTGATCCCAGCTGAGCATTTTGTGATGGTCACGCGATCCAAAGTGACAGAGTTGCCTGTTGCTTGGATACCCACGCGAGCTCCCTCTACATAAATGTGTTGGAGCACGGAATCTACAGAGAGAAAATGTATAAGATATATGTATGTATAAGTTAGTACTTGGTGCAGAGGTAAAACGAAACATGTAATGAATTTAAATAACCAAAATATGTAAGCCAATTGAAAGGCCACCGGTCATGAAGAAAGGAAAACCCAACTATCCCAAACCATAATCCAACGTGAAAAGAAGCAATGTATAATCCCTCTGCTTGAGCATTCAAGTTCCATTATCACAATTCATAACATCAATGGTATTTCATCCATACAGAAACCATCACGGAATATGTTGGAGATTACAACGAATAACATCAAAAATCTGTTAAAGCCCAAATACATTTACCAGAGATAAAGTACAAATGAAAACCTACCACCAGATACAAAATTTAGTCCGGACCAATATGATGAAATTTCAGAGACAGCATCATCTGCTGTAAACTCAACAGGAAGATTATCAATCCCTTTTGCTAGAAGATTACCTGAAATAGAATCTGAATAGTAGCATCGTGCATTGTGTATCAAAAGATATCAGTACTATATTCAGCATTACAAAAATCAAATAATATTGAAGTACTAAGAAACAAAAAATAGATGTTATGCATACCATGGACTTCAAAACCAGCTTCAGCTGTTGTAAATATTATCTTGACACCTGGTTGGATGGTAAGAGTTCCTCCTGGTCTAATGGCAACTACTTTTGACACAATATACGGACTGAGATGTAAGAATAGGACTTCCTCACCCTATAAATTGCAAGTAGATACATGTATTATAGGCATATTGTCAATATTATGTTGACGCCTGGTTGGATGGTAAGAGTCCCTCCTGGTCTAATGGCAATTACTTTTGACACAATATACGGACTGAGATGTAAGGATAGGACTTCATCACCTATAAATTGCAAGTAGATACATGTATTATAGGCATATTGTTAATATTATTTTTTGCCTGGTTTGATGGTAAGAGTCCCATCTGGTCTAATGGCAACTAGTCTTGACACAATATACGGACTGAGATGTAAGAATAGGACTCCCTCGACCTATAAATTACCAAAGTAATTCAACAAATCATCAACTGTGTCCTACAAACCAAAAAGACACAGTTGATAAACAGGATGTTTTCAACATTTCACATCCTAAATTGTCACTATAATTGAGTTGTTTGTTCATAAAATTATTTGAGTAAGCATTTTCATATTCCTTAATATTGTATTTCAAAGTTGGCTCTTTTATTACAGTAATTCAATTATACGTAGATTTAAATTAGATTCACCAACCTGAATATCTTCTTCGATAGGCGTGTATTTCTTTTCGGATACTGTCTTTTGACAGCCATAGAGCTCCATTCGTATTCCCGGGCGACTATTCCACGTTGTGGGAAGGATGTGAAAGTATCTTGCCTTAAATACAGTTGTGTCATAAATTGAAATCTATTCTAATTTTAGTAAAACAAATACATTGTCGATTTAGTGATTTTTTATATTTATTCTTATTATTGAGCGATTTTAAAAAGTTTGGTTCATATTATATTTTTATTGTTTAAATTTATGGAATAATGGAATGAGTTACATCACACTTACTTCCATATTCTCAGTTATCTCCACAATGGCAACATTGTGCCCATTGCTGTTCCCCTGTATAATTTCCCTTTTATTGTAGTACAACCAATTGGTTCCATCTACACTGTAAAGAATTTGGAATGTTTTCACCCAATAGGAATGCCCTGGAGCATACCCCTGTAGCGCCATCTTTGTTATTTTATGTGGTTGTAGCAGATCAACCTGAAGCCACGGTGTACTTGAACCATAGTGATGCCATCCACCTAGATTCATATAATATTAACTATAAGAAGTAAACTTACTATTGCATAGTTATTAACCAGACCTCAAAGATGTAAGTTTTCTTGAAAGTATCATAAATTAATAAACACAAGGAGCACACGCGTCTCGAACTCGCAACCTCGTGGTTACGGCGCCCAATCGCCTAGCTCTAACGTGCCGGCGCTCAAGCCCATAGCTAGAACATGGGTCTGGGCCTACAGTAAAAGTAATTACGAAAGTGACAATTCGGGGTTCATGATTTCCACACTTGCAAACATATTGACATTTAGTCGAATGGCCAAAAAGCAACTCACTTTACCGAGTTCATTGCTGACAGTGAAAAGAGAATGGGGAGTTTAAGCCAACCAAGTGGTATAATCAGCTCAAATGCGGATCCTAAAACGTTCATTGCATGTTCAGGTATGGCCAATACATTTGTATTGATCTGATTTATATAACCGTGTAATTTAGATGTAAGGCAAATACACTTTAAAAGTAGAAAATCAATTTAAACGTACTATTCTGGTTAAATCTAGGAAGACCACTCGAGGAAGATGAATAGCTGACATGTCCGTTGCTCAATATACTCCTGGTCAATGGTAAACTGCAGTCTGGAACAATAAAGTTGTAAAATATGTGAGTAAAAAATAATCCTTATGAATTACAGTAAGTAGGAACACAGTTGCCATTGTTGTGTTTTACAGAGGCTTTGATTTTTTCAGATAAGTGTGTGTGACATTTCAGGTGTCCATTTGTAACGGTTAAGTTAAGATATTCTGTCACTGCAGCTGTAAAATAATCAAACAAAACTTACTATCCTCTGGTGTAAATATCCAAGTTCCATTCACAGAGCTAACAGCTAACGAAGTGATGTATTCAGGACTGCTATCTTGCCATTCTACCAGCTGATCGATCCCTAATTCACGACCTTTTCCAAGGGCAATGTTTCCTATGAAAAGAAACACAATTAAATACCAGTACATTTCAGCTTGAAGTAAATATAATGCTGGACTATTATAGTAATGATATCTGAGTTCTGTTGACACCATCTAATGCACTGACTGCAACAGACGTCGTGTAATCAAGATTCCCATTCTACTAGGTGGCTGATTCCTAAGTCACGACCTTTTCCAAGAGCAATGTTTCCTATCGAGAGACTTAATATTTTGACAATGTCAAAGATGCAAACAAAAATCAATAGCTGTGTCTTAATATTGAATGAATAAGATGAATTGTTGACTTGATGTAATTCTTAAATACATAAAGTATGTAATAAATTAATTGTAATACTTTTACCAATATCAAAATCCCAATTCGCCATACCTTACTCACACTATTATAATCATTCATGAGTGATTCTATCTTAAAACTTCAGTTTTTACAACTCATCACTATGCTTGCACATAACCTTGATGAAGTATAAATAAGATGTTTACTGTCACTTTTCTTTAAAAAATCACAATGTTGCAGTAATATACGTTAATAAGCAGGTTACTATCTAAGTTTGTATTCGCGAATGCAACTAACAGCTACCGGATTAACCTATTTATTTGCATAGATTAACCGGATAGTTTGTCGACTAACGGTGATATTTATCCCATTTCTACATGATTGAACACACCGAAAATGTATTTTGCGTCTATGCGCAAGCGCCAGATGTATTTCCACTATTTACCAGAACTATTTACAATTCGGAACACCTCGATTTAATACATACGGGTAATTAAGAATATAAAGTAAAACAGTACCTCGTTTCATTGCTCCTGTCTATATTTAAGCCAACGCTTGTGATTGGTCAACGGAAGCTCACTTCTTTATTAGGATTATTGTCTGTTAACATTAAACTTTAACTCACCATTTGTCCATCCGATCCAAAATGTCACAAATTCATTGCATTTCAGAAGACCTTCAGTCGGCGATTCAGCTCGGGTACATCCTTGTTTGCAAGTACGAATCACAGACTTTGTGTTTGACCATCCTGATATCAAGATCTCGTACATTCGAGAGTTGGTAACACCAAAAATGGCCGACAGCGCAATATACGCCGATGTACATGCCTTTACTTCGAAGACAAGTCCAAGCTTGCCAGTAAGATCTACTTGGTCAATAGGTATGTAGTTTGCATCCTTTGTTATAACAGTGAGTGTCTCTTGGGTTCCTATTATACATATAAACATATATTGAATCAGAAACATATAATAAGATTGATTAAACACTCTCCATTAGAGTCCAGAATATTTTGATCTACTGACTTGCGGAATCTTCATAGATACACTTCCCTCCATAAGTTTGGCAACCCGATTTTATAGCTTTCTGAGATAAAGTAATTAAGGAACAAATGTGAGATTCGGACATTGAAAGGCTTTGAAAGACGATGCTATTCAATTAATACTTCCGTTTGCAACCTTTTGGGGATGGTATATCCAGAATAATTCAACCAATTGACTAGGGCAATCTTTTTAAGCAACTAACCTTCACATTTACCCAGATGCAAATAAGTAGTTACAATATTCTTCACCAGGTGGCAGATTCGGGGTAGATAACATGGCAGGGTATTAGAAAGTTCCCCCTAACTTGAATATTCATCAGTTTTAGTCGAAATATATGTATGGCCAATAAAAGGAACAATATTTCATTTTTTGTGATTTTACAACATGGAGTCATGGGGAATCTCCCCGACAAAGAAGTCACATTTTCAAAGAAAATTAAGTTTTCAAAGTTGATTTGGATTTTGAATTTTTAATGACGTAAATCAAGATAATTTATACTCGCATCTAGTCTATCGATCGTGTGTAGTGGACCATGTATCAATTTATTTCTCATATTTAAAAAGTTTATGTTTCCCTAACCCCAACTTTATACCCTGATATAGTGAAATCAAATGTTCATTCTAGGCACATTATCTGTTATTATTAGTCCACCCGCTATGGCTCAGTGGCAGAGAGAGTCAAGGTTACCAATATCGCTTGGCCCCGGGTTCGATTCCCGGTTCAGACAAGTTTGTTTGTGCGTTATGTAATTCTGGGTGTTTGACTGAGTGGTTCACGACTCGTATAAAAGGCTGTGGTGTGTACCTGTATGTCTGTGTACCTGTGCACATAAAAGAACACAGGGCTCCTCCAAGGAGGGGTTTCTGGCTATATCTTCGAGTGTAAAATACGTAAATACGGAATATACCAATGAGGTATTGCTCGCCAAATATGGCGGTAACCAAGATATAATAATAATAATAATCTGACCAAAGTATCATTTTTGATCATTTATATTTTTCAGGGTCTCGACTGGATAAAGGATGAACAAAATTACTATGTAGTATTACATTACAGGCAGGGTCTAAACAAGGGCGAACGTAATACCCGGAACGTTCGCAAATTGGCGTTCGGTTTTTTACCGCATCCGATTTGAATTAGCCAATAAACATGCACCATTGTCTAATGAAGACCAAACAAAGCCCCGGATGTCCTGTCGTTTATCGTTTCGTTTGGTACACAACTAAGTCCCGGGTATTAAATAAGCCCTTGGTCTAAATAGGTAATGAATCTAAACCATTGATGATATTCCAGAACGCGATTCGAGTAAGAGGGGATATGGTGACCCAAGTGTGCATTTCCATCTCAAAAGAATCAGGTGTGTAGAAATAAAGATACATTAACACAATATAAAGGGTGGGTCAAAAACCTACAAAATTTTGCAAATCATGTTTATAATGAATCGATTTTAATATCATGTTCGCATTAAATGCTGTACAATTGATCCAAAAATGTAATTGTTATGTCTTGTTAAAACGAAAACAAAACGATATCCCGCCCGATTTGAGCTTGGTAACAATTTTTGGAGTCACTCTGTACCTTTGAAATTTTATTATGTTTTATTGACGACTTAGATTTTCGGTTCAGATTCATTAATCTGGATGATTTGAATTTAATTTCATATTTGGCACTTCTTTCACAATATAAACTCACCTGACTGTGCAGTAACCAAGCATTGACAATGCGCAAGAAACACAAGTAGAATCCACCGTAATTCGACTTGCATGGTCCAATTACATGTTCAACGGTTCAATCAACACTCTGTAAAAAAAGAGACGCACTAGACGTAAGGTTGCTTATCGAATGATATAGAAAAACGCAAATGTCTGCATCGCTTAAACAGACGGGGCGAAAGTGTTGGGGAGAATCCAGACATGACATTTTACTGAGGCATAACAAAAAATTGCTCAATTCCGCTTCTTTGGAAAGTAGACTTATCCCCCCCCCCTGTGAATAATTTCTATCTATGAAATAAAGGTTATTTACAGGTTAAAACGAATATCTGTTGTTGACAACCACACTGATATGCTTGCACGGATGCAGCAAAAACTGCAAATGTAATCGATTTAATTAATAAAAATGAGCACGCAAAACATGTTTGATGCGATGATTCGAAGAAATTCTTTTTGATTATAGACTCTATTGGAATTCAAATTTATAAAAACTATCTGTTTGAATAAAAAGCAAAGTGACATTCTCGAAAATTTCAAATCAATATCGTTAAGCGTGTTTGCCCAAATGGGTGTGCGCAAATGTCAATGTCACCACTTTAGAAATGTTCGAGAAAATAAAGTAATACGGTGAAACTATATTAAGGCCGTCTGAAACTATTGATATAAAAACGATCATTCTTATTAGACATCGCTTCACGTTAAATGTAATATAATTTTTCAAACATACTAGGCCATTTGCTCCGATTTTCACTACGGCGCCCGACCGGTTGAATATTTTGTTCAAAATTGAATACAATATTGAACAAAACACTCAATCGGCTGGGCGCCGGCCGATGGATCGGAGCATATGTGACCCAAACAGTAGGGTCCGAGAAAATAAAGTAATACGGTGAAACTATATTAAGGCCGTCTGAAACTATTGATATAAAAACGATCATTCTTATTAGACATCGCTTCACGTTAAATGTAGAAGAAAGTAGAAGAAAGTATATTAATGGAGCTTTTAAAGCATATCAAACTTACCTTAATGTCTTTGAATCCTTGCCTGCGTCACCACTGAAATATGAACGTGATTTGATCCTCTGTTCTCGCGTTGCCTGAATAGGTTTGTATACCTTTCGTTCAATCAAAATGTTTTTTTGTAAATGGCGATCATTTATATGAAAAGAAACGAAAGTATACGATCATTCTAATTCAGGTTTATTCTAGAATGTATCAAGGACATCTATCCTTAATGTATATCCTGCATTCTTGGAAATTTGACCTATTTGAATAAGTATTCGAAATAGTACGAGGTTCCCTTCCTTGGTGAATACGTTTGATTAAACACCTTAAACCGATTTATTGTTATATGTCACCAAACACTACATTTACATGACCCGACTTTCAAATTAGCCTATCCAAAATCCAAATAGTGTTTTGTTAATCGATTAAGCCAAGATAAAACCGAAGGTCCATACTGCAATATCTCTAAACATATTCGGCCTTAATATATTTTCGCCCTCGACAATAGGTTTTTCCATTCCCTTCCCTCTGATTCGCAGATGTAACTACATACCTCTCTAAACGTCATTAATGTCCAAGGTGTACTGACACCGATATCTCATTCTTTTCACGGCTCGCTATACCAGTGTTTTCACAAGTATATACTGTTAAAACTAACATTAAAATACTCTATATATTTCTTTTGCATTTCACTATTTTCACAATCCGTTACACTTTAGGTGTATAGATGAACAGCTAAACCTAAATTGAAATCCTCAAATGTATCAATTTGCACTTCACCTCATAAGTTTGGCAATTAATTTGACCAAGTTTCCTTTGGATCACGTATCAAACCTGTAAATGCTAAATACAATTCAATATATAGGTATTTAATGTATATCATATTGTGCATAGGCTAATTGTTTAATAAAGATGGCATGGTAATCGATCTGTGCTTATTTATAAATAGAGAAAAAGATAATACTGGATCGGAGCAAATGTGACCCAGGCATTACTAATGTACGTTATGCCTTGGTCACATATGACCCATATGCTCCGATCCATCGGCCGGTGCCCGGCCGATTAAGTGTTTTTTTCAATATTGTCTTCAATTTTGAACAAAATACTCAATCGGCCGGGCGCCGTAGTGAAAATCGGAGCAAATGTGACCAAGGCATTACATGTGTCAAGTGTATTTCTTGATCTTGTATTATGCCTGGGTCACATATGTTCCGATCCATCGGCCGGCGCCCGCCCGATTGAGTGTTTTGTTCAATATTGTATTCAAGTTTGAACAAAATACTCAATCGGCCGGGCGCCGTAGTGAAAATCGGAGCAAATGTGACCAAGACATTAGGCTGCACGCCAATAATTGACTTTTTATCAGCTAGTCTAGTCCATTTACAATCGGGTTATGCGTCGATAAACCCTCAAAATTAGTTATCAAAAGAACACTGTGCAGGATTATATTATGAACGAATACATTCATATTTTACAAGTAAAAAACGTATTTAGTATACTCACCTCTAACATCCGATGTGACATCTATCTGACCACCCTTCATAAGCAACTGGTGTTTACGGCTCAGTTATTTTAATTAGTGGTTGATTAAAACTAGTTCGAGCACACCGTGGGCACTGATGTGGCAAAGAAACGTACACTCCGTATATATACAACTAGAGTGAGCTATTTATAAGCCGACTTATTAAACGAGTAATACCATGCGCATAAAGCTCTTATGAATGCATGCTATTCAAACATTTATAACTGGAGTATATATAAATTGTCTTAGACGTACGTGTATATAGGTTGTTAGTACTTTCACACGGACATAGCTGCTTGAAGTTAGGTTTAGTTAGTTTTCTAATATGATGCCTGCATTCGGACGTTCGACTTAGACCTGATACGTTCGTGGGGCACAGCATTTGGTGTAGGAAGTGTTCGGCACATTTCGACAGGAGGTGGATTATATTGAGTTTGGAGCACATAGAATGCAAACAAAATGGTAAGTGTACAGTTTGTTCATATTTCCTGGAAATAAGGTTAAATAAGTCGATTTTCTATCACCATTTCCAAACCATGATGGTTTGAAAGACCATAGTTTCCAATAATGTCATTGGTACATATCTTAGACTATATCCTATTTAGCCTGAATATATTCAGACTATAAGCCACCTATGTTAAAGTTTGGTAATTCAAAATATTTGTTTACATAGGAAGTGCTATTCAAAATGGCCGATTGGGTAAAATTAATTTGCACATTTGTTACTTCAACTAACTTTATTTCCATTGGACAACATGCTGTCTTACTTTTCATAGCATTTAAGGACAGGGTGCATGTTGGGAAATTTTCTGCATTCCTCAATTGAGTCACATGTTATTTTTCAAACAAGAATAACTCCTTCCCCAAATTGTCTACATCTTCCAAGTTTGCACAAAGAGTGCACTTATGTGCCTAGAAAAGCCTTGTGAGAAGGTTTGTTTTGTAAAATGTATAAAAAATGAGAAAATTCAGTGAAAAAAATTTCTGAAAATTTTCTGATTTTTTTCACTGAATTTTCTCGTTTTTTATACACTTTATCAAAACATCCTTCTCCTAGGCACATAAGTGCACTCTTTGTGCAAAACTGGAAGATATAGACAATGTGGGGAAGGAGTGATTCTTGTTTGAAAAATAACATGTGACTCAATTGAGGAATGCAGAAAATGTCCCATCATGCACCCTGACCTTAATTGTACCTTACTACTTATTGTTATTGTGTTTATTTTTCGGACGTGAAGCTTCCTAAAATTGGTAATTTTGTGCTCAAAACTTCCTGTTTTCCCTCAGGAGGGACATGATGATCAATAGACTGAATTATGAGGACATTCAGTCTGTTGGATAAAGAATAATGTATAGCTTCTTAGAAATTCTCTTATTTTAACATGGGAAATCCTTACTTCAGATCCATAACTGCCCAAACTGTAGTTTTTATGTTTACCCATTCCACTTTGCCATCAACCATTGGGGAATAGACATTTTTCAAGTGCAGCTATACTCAAATTTTCTCCGTCTATAAAAGCTTTAAGGTTCAGCTGGAAAGTAACATTTTGGTAAAAAATTGCGATACCTGCACATGTTATTTTCTGGTACAAAATTAAGTATGAAGGCATTTTTCAATTTCCTTGCTTTTTTCAGGAAAGTATCATTACATTGTCTTCTTTTAGAATATCTGGTAGGAGTTCAATGGGAACTCCAGGAAATTCTGATATTTCACACTTTCTATTTTTCCAAATTTTCTTTCAAAGTTTCCAGACAACACGGGAGCTACCATTGGAAATATGTTCACTTTCTTTTTATGCATCTTTATTAATTATAATCATCATATTAATGAATGTGTTTGAAGCGTTGACAATCCACAACACCCTGACTTAGTCAGAAACACCTTGCCAACATTTAACTGTCATAACTGAAATTAGTAATTACAGGCTCTCCATCTTTGCAATTACAAATACAAACCGTATGTAAAGTGTATGTATTATAGATAGAGAACTTTCTATATCAATAGACTCCACTTGCAGATCCTTTGGTGGGCCAAGAAAAATATTATGAGCCCGATAAGGGATTTGAAATTTGCCCCTCCCCCCATTGACTACATCGTCTATCCTGAATTTTTTGAACTTTTGAATAAAAATATTCATATTATAGCACATATATGTTAAAATGTTGGATTGAAAAATATTTGTGTACAAAGGAAGTGCCATTCAAAATGGCCGATGGAGTAAATTAATTTGCATACATACATACTTCCCCTAGCTTTATTTCCATTTGACATCAGTCTGTGTTAATTTTTATAGCATTTAATTGTACCTCACTACTTAATTGAATTGTTTAAGTGTTTAATTTTTTGGATGTGATTCTTCCTAAAATTGATAATTTCTGCACAAAATGTATTTTCCTACAAGAGGGACATGATGATCAATAGACCGAATCCTCAAGATATTTAGTCTCTTGGATAGGTTACCCCCCCCCTTTAACTTCGGGATCCGCCAGTGGAGTCAGCTTTATAAACTTCGTTTTCTATAAACCTTTTTCTGTATTTATCAAATATAAATCGTAAGATATCGTACCCTAAAAAGTGAAATTAAGTTATTATCATATAAAATTGAGAAGTGCGCAAGTTGTATAGTTCAATTTAAAACTTATCCCCTCGCGTATAACAATACAGACTTGGTCGACGTCTATTTTAACATCATGATTTTAATTTTTTCATTTTCAGGGTGATTGTACACCATTGTCACAGCTCATCTCATCCAATGCATTGAAGTTGCTTGCAAACACTAGCGAATATGGCGATGGTGACGTAGCCAGTTTACAATGTCTCTCGGGCTATGACTTAAAGGGACCCGATGTCGTCACTTGCGTACTAGGAAGATGGAGCCCTTCACTGCCATCATGCACAGGTAAGGAACCGTTCGACGCTTTGCAGGGACCCCCCCCCCCCCATCTCCATTGCGGGGAGGATGAGGATTTTCACACGGAGTAATTTTCCCAGTGATGGGATTTTAATTACAAAGAACTTTAATCCGGGAGTTATTTTACCTGCTGTTAGTTAAATAAGGGTGGGAAAAATGATCCTGGGGAAGGGAATTTATAGCCAGCCTTGCTTAATTATTCAGTTCTATGACGCATTATGAAATGAATTAGATTCTTAAAATTGTAAAGGTAATTTTGATTTCATTATTCGAATTTGTTCAAAATTGAATCAAAATGATTTTCAAAATGAAATCTATGTATAAAATTACTAGAAATGTATTTTATTTATTGAAATATGTCATACTGCCATTGCTCGCCCTATTTTGTAAGATATTGAAATGATTTGACCTCTGAATAAATTGGCCCTTTGCTATTTATTTTGGCTCTAAATCCTGCATCGTCACGACATTTTCCTTTCATTTTTCAATTACGTAGGATGTCACATTTCGAAGCTTTTAATGTACTATAATTGAAAACGTCAACAGAAATTTCATGTCAGTGAGCGGTTTTGAATTGATAAAACATTGACGCAATGTTAGAAATCCACGTACTGTAAACCCAATTTGATCCGAACGCTACTGTTACTGCCAAAAACTTTTTGTATTAGCAATTGTTCACATTATAATATTTCTTTATATTCGAGTGAATTGGAGATGATAAAATTGAGACAAAAAGCGTTCACATTGAGAGGTGTTCAAATTAGAGACGTGTTCGGATTACACGTTTTTATATTGTATATATTTTCAGCCAAACGTTCGCCAAGTGGCCTCTCAACCGACCAAACGGTCATTATAGTCATCTGTGCAATAGCGAGCCTAATCGCATTGATTGTCATCCTCGCAATGTGTGTCATCTGCTGTAAGAAATCTAAAGACGAAGACCCCACTCCCCCAGAGAAACCAGAACCTAAAGTAGGAGCGACAAATCCCGTCATGGACTGGGTCCAAAAAAGGTTTGGTATTCTATTCGATTACTCGTTCTCTCTCGTTCGGTATTTCCTTCGATTCTTCTTTTTGAGTGGTATGTTCGGCATTTTGATGCATCTACAATTATTATCAATTAGCATTGCATTTGATCAGTTTCTGGGTGGGCTTACTCGTCACAAATGCAATAAAATACCACATGCGGGTTGTGAATACGTTGAATCTCAATGCATTAAATAACAATTAGGATAATCAAAACGGATATTATTGCAGGGACACCCTGTAAGTAATTATAATACGTAAATACATGTCAATCGTTTGCCTTTTTGAAGCAGGAAGTTCACCCAGAGGTTTTGCATTTCAGTGACCTTGGGCCCACTACTATGGACGAAGATGACAACGTTGGTATGCCACCAGTTCACTTAAGCACGTTAAGTCCCGTATTGAAAGGAAAACAGGACGCCGCTGACGAGGACAATATAAACGGAGAGGACAATGTCGGAATGCCTCCTGTCCATTTGAGTACTATGAGCCCAGTATTGAAGGGAAAACAAGAAAATGCAGAAGAAACTGATATACAGTTTAAATAGCTTGATAAAAGTTAGACTGCACGCCTTACTTGCCATTTTGTAGATTTAAAAACTACGCACTTAATCAAGGTGGGAACAGCAGGGTGAATTATAACTTTGCATGAGAGAACGCATTTCCATCAAACAACACATTTGTATAAGACAGACTTACCTTCAAGGTATTGCATTATGTGAATTTAATCAATTAATGGCTGCGTTTCTAAAGATGGAACTAGCTTAAGTTGCAAAAACTGCAATTTAGTTTGGGTTGTAGACCAACCCAAATAAACAATGGAAATCATTAAAATACAATACAACAATGGACAGTAGATGAAATGTTGTAGAACATTTTGCTCACCACGCTGAAAGCCCATGGCCTAGCATTTCTATCAAAATATAGAAAGGGTGGTGAAAATAAGACGAAAGTGGAATTCAAAACAGAATCATATATTAATAAAAAAAAACTAGTGGAAACGAATCATTTCCTGTTTCAAATCATCATGTTAAGAGTTAATTAAGGTTAACCGTGTACAACAATTTTTTAACTTATTTGTGCATGATATGATGTCAGTTTTGCCAGGCACCATGTACTAAAAAGGTTTTCTGATTACTTATCCTTTTTGGACTACCTTAAGTGTGATCTTCACATGTTTGACTAGGGGTTGACCTGGATATTGTCAAAACCTGGCCGATTTAAATCCTTAGGGTTAACCTTTAACTAAGGTAGGCCGTGCATAACCATTTTTTCACTTATTTACGCGATGTGGGACACAAAAGATTTATAAATTACAGATTCTGTTTTGCTTACCTTTGCCATTGTCCTTTGATCAGTGATGTGGAGTTTGAAATCTTCTCGGAGACTAATGTTAACATTTCAAAATTTGTTTTACAGATTTTATTAAAAGTCGGGCCTAAAATGTATTTCTACATGGAGTTAAACAAGTTTGGGCCAAAGCTGGTGTGTACGTCATGGACATATGTCGTCAGAATCGAACGAAGCAGGCTGAATATAATTAACTCGGTTCCCCAATCACATGCCAAATGATTGTAAAACATAAGCAATGAGTTCATAAGTCAAGAAAATATATCTTGATATTGCAGTTTTGAGAGTAATCGCTTATGTAAAATTTCGTCTGGTCTGTTACTGCTCATAAATGTATTGTTTTAAAATTTATATTTTGTGAAAAGTACTATGGATTTGAAAATCAAGTGTTCATATATAGTGTTCATATATATTTGTATATCAGCTGTTGGATATTGGAAGCTTTCCAATGCTAGAACTATGAAATAAGATATATTATAATATTAATGTTATGTTTTATGAAAACAATTGAAAAAATGTTAAATAAAAGATGAACTAGACAATGTAAAGACAATAAATTCAAAAATATTGTGTATATCGGTTGTCCAAAAAAGGAAACATTTTTTGACAAGTATTTTCTCGGCAACTGATGAATCAAATTTACTGGAAATTCGTACAAAGAATTTTGTTTGCGCTTAAAGCGCTTTAAACACTGAAGCCGAATTGTCATTATGCTAGAAAGCTACATGCAATGTATATGGGCGGTTGATACGTTTACGTTTCCGTTTCGATTTTATATGTAAGCTTAAACTCTCTATTTATGCGACGATCCTTTCTTCTTGAATTTGTCGATTTAGTTAGTCTCTGAATTCGGGTCGGCATGCTATGTGCAAGTCGATTTGTTTACGTTACACTCCCCCTTATAAGTTTGGTAATCGGGAGCCTTCATTTGATAATGTTTTAAGGCTTGAACTGTTTTGTGTTTTGTATCTAAATTTGATGAATTTTTGTATTAGCGCCAGCATAAACCTGCTGTTTTATAGGTTGAAATGTTCTGTTTTCTATTTACATTATGTCAATTTGATGACTTGTATTAGCGTCAGCATAAACAGACGTTAACTTTTTTGGGTACCATACTTTTGGAGGGGAAGTAATTTGAGTTGTCGAGTGTCATGTTTTTAGTTACATTCTAGTTGAGATATCTTATGATTTGTCCCTTATTTGGTCTGACGACAAGACTTCTAAGAGGTGGTCCAAATCCTCTCAACTTAAACGGATAATTCATAACATTGAGGTAACCTTTCAGGGATTTCTAAATTACTTTTAATTGGACATTCAATTGGATATAATGTTTACTTAAACCTACTGAATACTGAAAATCATGCTGTCACCTTTAAACCACAAAATTGCTGTCTATTAATCAAGACATACGTGAATTTACTGACCATTAAGATATAATATAGTTCTTAGAATTTAAAGCTATTAAAGCTTCAATATTGTTATACAGCTGAGTTATATACAACCTTTTTTAGTTTATGTAATTTCAAAACTATTGTATACCTGAACCGTTATGTTATATAGTGGCAGAGAGCCAGTATTAACAAGCTGAGCCACTTTTGTCAACTTGCTATCATCTAAAAATCGTCTGTGATAGGCACTTGCAGGCTGCACTTGCACCCCCAGCACTGTCCATTGGGCTTGATTAGTACACCTGTCTTCAGACGGGTGTCGGGCACCCTGTCAAAAAATATAAATGTGTAATTATATAGCAATAAATGAACAATATTGGAATTAATGTTAATTTGGCAATGTGAAATATGGTTGCTTTTACTTACAACTTCGAATAAACCACTGTCTGCAGGATTCGGGTAATAGACTGCTGCAAAGCGGCCTCTTTCTACCAGATCGGTAAGTGCCGGTATTTTACGAATTCTTCCTTTGTTCTTTACGCTAATATCAAGTACAAATGAGAAAAGAATTTACGAAGAGGGACTTTGACAAGGAAACATTTTAAAGATAAATTTAAACAATTAGAATGATACATTATTAGCCCATGTATAAATCGTGAATTCCTTAAACAACAACGGGAAGTTACAAGAGATTATTGTTTTGGATAATATAACAATAATATCATTTCAAAGGGCTGAAATAGTAAAAACTGTCCCCGAAGCAAAAATTATACGCACTATATGGATATCTCATTTTTCTGAAAACAATACCAGGCTGATATATCCATTTTAGCCCGCGACTAAGGCCCGCAACCATAGCGTCACATATTGCTCAAGTCAATATAGTAAAATAAAAGCCTTCTGCTCTAAAACGAATACCCTGACAACAACCTCGGCAAGGTTCAATAATGAGGATTTGTTTCTTCATTATGACGACCTTTAACAATGAAAAGCTACACACGACGAAACAGAGATATATTAGTGATTGATTCTTATGTTATCTATATGCAGTACCTCTATCTAATTGTAAATATAAGTTACCAAATGTGCACCAGCACTGTTCCTCTTTTATTGTCCCATTCCTCTTCAAAAAGGTCAACGTAACCATAAATGTAGACTTCCGAAGGTTGTGGTAAAATACCATTGACAGACACTGACGTCACTGTACCATTGTAGCTTAATGGGATGTTCAGCTTAAAGTTGTAGATGTCTGAACCAATAGCATTTTCTACCCGCATGCGGACGTCCTTAACAGAAAGGAAAAAATTCCTCTCACTATCATGCAGACTTCATATTTAATAAGCTCTTTTAATAAATACGGAGAGTGTTTAATATGGGTCTTTAATATGATAGCTATCAACGATTGTTATACGAAATTCTCATTGACTAAGATGCATTATTCTTATGTTAAGCTCATGTTTACAGTACATACTATGTCAAAAATATCCTATGCTTTGCAGAATCAAATCACTGAGACGTGATGTGATGAGATATGATGTGATACAAAGACACGGCGGATTTGTAAATAGACGGCCCGCCTTTCAGTGACAGAATTTTTCTCTCATATCTCATACTCATATCTTGGAATAATGTTTCAATAATATAAAAAGTAATCTTACACGAGCAGTGCATAATCTCTAACTTCAAAAACAGTTATTAGTATTCATTTTGCATCACAACTAGGGGATAAATTAATTGTTACCCGCTCTTCCTCGTTTTATCAAGGATACAAGCTACCAATTGATGGCATAATAACCTTTTAACTTTGTATCACGGTACACCCCATCTTGTACTTACATAAGGTTCTTTCTGTGCCACAGTCCTAAGCCAAATCAATAAACCGGATCTTGGATCAAGAGACATTCCTGAAGGCCCATTCAGCAGCTGCCATGTTACTGGTCTAGTTCCCTGCAATGATATCAACGTGATGAAAACGATGCCTTATAGTTATCGTTACATATTTGTAATTTATCCATTGAAACTTTAAGAGCTTAATACAACAATTACTATAATATATATACTATACAATTATATGGAATGAATTTGCATATGTACTCTATGCATAATTTATACTCAATTATACAGTACCTTTTTTATATCCATTTGAGCTTGATATCTCTTCCCTTCCCGGGCAGAGGTGAGATTAACCTCTTTAAACAATGGAGCAATTACAATATCCTGACACGACTCTCCTTCCCAGGGTAGAATACATGAACATTGTCCAAACAAACATATTCCATGAGGTGGTGTTTCATTACGTCCACAAGCACTGCTTGGACATGTAGGGTGGTACTTGAATGTAACCTAAATTAAGGAATATGCCAGATTAATGGTAGAATGCATTAACATTGTCCAAACATACAAATCCCATGAGGTGGGTTTTCATTTCATCCATAAGCACTGCTTGGACATGTAGGGTGGTACTTGAATGTAACCTAAAATAAGGAATATGCCAGATCAATGGTAGAATACATGAACATTGTCAAAACAAACAAATTCCATGAGGTGGGTTTTCATTTCGTCCACAGGCACTGCTTGGACATGTAGGGTGGTACTTGAATGTAACCTAAAATAAGGAATATGCCAGATCAATGGTAGAATACATGAACATTGTCAAAACAAACAAATCCCATGAGGTGGGTTTTCATTTCGTCCACAGGCACTGCTTGGACATGTAGGGTGGTACTTGAATGTAACCTAAAATAAGGACTACGCCAGATTAATGGTAGAATACATGAACATTGTCCAAACAAACAAATCCCATGAGGTGGGTTTTCATTTCGTCCACAGGCACTGCTTGGACATGTAGGGTGGTACTTGAATGTAACCTAAAATAAGGAACACGCCAGATTAATGGTAGAATACATTAACATTGTCAAAACAAACAAATCCCATGAGGTGGTGTTTCATTTCGTCCACAGGCACTGCTTGGACATGTAGGGTGGTACTTGAATGTAACCTAAAATAAGGAATATGCCAGATTAATGGTAGAATACATGAACATTGTCCAAACAAACAAATCCCATGAGGTGAGGTTTCATTTCGTCCACAGGCACTGCTTGGACATGTAGGGTGGTACTTGAATGTAACCTAAAATAAGGAATACGCCAGATTAATGGTAGAATACATGAACATTGTCCAAACAAACAAATCCCATGAGGTGGGTTTTCATTTGGCCCACAAACACATCTTTGACAGGTATGGTTGTACTTGAATACAAGCTAGATGTTTGTTTAAAAAAGGTATTAATTCATTATCTCTGCATTCAATGAAATGCATTCTATACATAGAGTAAGAATACTTACTCTTTCGTTTGTAAATTCGCCTTCTGGTTTTCCAACATTCACAGCAACTTCACCGACTTGCTTAGGACTTACACAACGTACTTGTTCATGTGATACCCACTGACCAATTACATCGATATTACCAAAACGGCATATATACTGACCATCACTACTGTTCTCAAAATTGTGCCCGATTACGTTGACCACAGTGCCACCTATATCAGGTCCTGTTGACGGAGCAACTAGTAGAACAGTAGGGATAGGCAAGCAGTATGGTCCATAGAATGTTATGTTGCACTCATTGCATAGTTTTCCGGCCCAATTCACAGATGAACATGTACATCCACCTGAATTAAAAATACATAAAACATGTATAATACATAATACATTCGAAGGGCTGAGATATTTCCTAAACGTGATTTTGTTTAAGTGATACATGTGACTTCGTATGGAAGCAAGTCGACACGTTTAGTTGAGTTAATTAAGACCACCTGATGTCTTATCACAGTATCCATTGACGCATGGCGGGCATGGCTCGCAATCCTGACCCCAATACAACTCTTCACATTTCGAGCAGTCAGTCCCATCATATGAAGGAAAACATGAACATGCGTCTGGTTGCAAACAGTATCCTCTTCCTGAACAATTGTTCACATTGTAACATGTTGCATCAGCACAGGTCTCTCCAGTCCAACCTCCAGTGCATTCGCAAACGTTTGGTCCAACACAGTTGCCATTACCATAACAGTCAGATACCTATAGAGCAAATTTAAGCACAAGATTCAATTAAAAGGATCATCTCGTAATATTTTGATATTATAGGCATACATAGCATGGGCGACGCAAATTCATAGTTCATCATTTTGTTTCATATTTGTTCAGAAATGGCAACATGGCTTGTGAATATGAATGTTCACTTAAAAGTAAAAACTTAAAAAATGTCAAAGGCCTTCAGGGCCATGCTGCCACCATTACAATCCAGATGGAGTGCAACAACTGACCAATCATCAAATACAAAAAAAGCATTCATCCGTCAAGGGTTGTGAACTCAATTCTCTTGAAATGGTCAGAGGTTATGTTCAAGAGGATATGAAAAGGTGGCGTCCGAATGTGGGGGATGTGATGAGAGTAGGTAGGTCTCTAATCGTTTCAAGAGGCCCAAACCACCATCTCAGAGGCCCTTAAAAATCTGAAGAACAATTTACATGCACTCCAAAGATGCTTCGGGAGGCATGCAACTGAGAAAAACGTTAAAAAAGGCGGCAGTGTGACCATATAGCTGCACATGTTAAAATACTATGGCTCCTAATCAACTGTGGGTAACAATGCAATGGTCCTGCGACCCTAACAATATATTGTACATACAGTGTATGAATCTTTTCAAGTATACATACAACTCAATTTAAAACAAAGGGTCTTAAATGCAGTCGTTATCATTACCAAACAATTTCCAAATTAGCAGTGCACACGTCTGCATTAGTCAACCATTCGTTACGAATACCATGAACGCCTATAATATTTATAAATAAGAGATATTCCTTAAACATGTTTTGTATGTCAGGATTTTACTCTATATTTCAAACATGTAATCAGTTTTTTGATAATACTGAAAATTAAAAAAGCTATCGAAGAAAAAAGTGACCCTTAAACAACTGTGCCTACGATAAGTACCAAAAATTGTACACAGTAAGAGCAAGAAAAAGAAGTTTACATCAGTTATAACGAAATAAACACCTATACAACTATCTCAAACCATAATCCAACGTTAAAAGTAACAATGCCTCATGCCAAATAGGAAATTCTATCTTACCTGCTTGCATGAGACTTTATTACATTCTGCCCCCTGCCAGCCATCATCACAACGACATCTATCAGGTCTAACACATTCGCCATGGTTAGAACAGTTGTTCACAGCCAAGCATGTAAATACTTTCCCTGATAACATTGGAATGTAAACTACCTCTGCAGCATTAAATGCATCTGCTTTATCAAATATGCGTTCATCAGCATATGCTTCTACTGCGCTTCCCCACCAGTTGTACGTAGCATTTATGATATCTTCGCCATCATATGCAGCATAAAGCTCGTACACGCTTGATGGGTTTTCAAGTAGATTGTAATGTATTGAATAATTTCCCGACGTTATCCTTATAATGCCTTGCGAGGCCACGTTATCAGTGAATACGTTATCTGTTAGGGTACCGCGGTTATTCACTTCGTTGTCTGGATGTAGGTAAACCATTGTTTGATATGTGTTTCCCAAGAATTCATTACTGACAATGTGAACGTTACTTATGACATTTCGATAATTGTATGCATAGTATAATGGATGTAAATCTATTAGATTTGATGAACCACCATTATATTCCATCCTGTTATCTTCAATCATAACATCAGTTCCTTTGTATAAATCAAGATCCATAAGAGTGCCACTGTTGTTGCGAAATATATTATTTTGGATATTGACCAACGGGTTTAAACTGTGATAATGTGTTTTAGTCGTGGTTACCTTTATAGTATGTTGTGTATTTTGCTCAAACGCAGAGTTTTTAATTGTCATGGTTATTTGAGATTGAGAAGCGCCAGAGTTGTAACCCATACTTTCAACGTATATCGCATAATAATTAGCCCGGTCTGTGTTCTTGAATATACAGTTTGTAAAAGATAGATTTAACGGATATCGAAAGTACGCACCATGCTGATTATTGGAGTCAAAATATACACCATCTAGTAACACAAACGCACTCTGGCTTGCTTGAATTCCATGATAAGTAGAACGAGATATCGTTCCATTGTTTAAAATCAGCCTCAGCCTGTTATTCTCCATGTGTATACCTCTCTGACCTGCCCTGTCAACCATACTCCCTGTCATATCAAGATAGTGCAACGAAAGTGACTTTATATGTATACCCGTGCCACTTGTTTGACTAATCATACTATCACGAAATGCCATATGTGTTCCAAAACTGTATTCGTGAAAGTAGAGTCCAATGCCGACGTCCTCAATATGCACGTTATTCGTTTGAATAGGGACATCATATATCAGCATGCCATATTTCGATCCAGTTATATTAACATAATGTAAAGCAGATAGTTCCGGCTCTAAAAAACAAAGTATGATTATATTAACTTTGAAATACATTTTATAGAAGTGATTAACATAATTTAACTGTTAAAATTTATTGATAAATAGTTTAAAATAGTTTATTTAATATATAGAAATGTGTTATTGATAAATAGATACATGCATAAAACAGGACTTGGAGCCAATTGAAGGTTTTATACCAATGGACCTGGTACTTTTGTTTAAATTACGTGGTAAATTAATGTGTAGATCATGTGTATGTCAATATATTATACTTTACAATACTTAGAAGTTATTATCAGTATTTTAAGCGCCCCACCTTTACAATCTGCGCGTTCATAGAAGTCATACGCTTCGGTATAGTTACTCCACAAGGAGGAATCTATTTCTGCTCTTGATTTGTCACTGAGTAGACAGAGACCATCTGACTCTCTGTATTCAATTGACTTGCATCCAAAAGTTGCTGTTCTACAGCGATGTATACAATACCATCTATCCCAATTGTAGTTCGTCTCTCTGTTGTGTCCAGCGATTGCAAAATTCTTAATCATTGTAAATCTTGTCCCATTTTTACAAGCTGAAATCAAGTCGGTGTTTCGTTTAACAACATGAAAGTGCTACACTCAGTTATTCTAAATGTATGAATTTTGCAACGTATAGATCATTGGCTACTTTAAAGTAATGGGAGTTGTCCTTCGATGTTGGCATATACAATATAAATGGTTGTTGGGTTGGTGCTTACCTTCTTCAGTTGTCCTCTGAAAAACAATACCTTCCCACTGTGTGCTGGCATCTTGTCTTGAAAGAACTACTTTTCTTTCGGCACTTCCTTCAATGATAAGTCGCCCTATTGTAAAATAATGGTAATATTTATTACATGTAATTTACAAGTTTTGCCTGGATGTGGTGTTGGTTAGTAAATGTTGTCGTACTGCAGATTATTATAATTTTTCTTCAAATATAAATTTTCTTCCTGGGTTGATGTGTAAATGTTCTTCTCAATTGATTGATACCATAATATATCATATAGAGTATACTGTAGTATTTTTCCTGTTTTTCATTAGTCTAATTACAGTAAAACGTTATATCTTATTGTACTATTTGTGCACTGCACTTTCCTTCAACAATGATCCCCTGTGCTCCTGGAAACTTCATATGTACACCTGCCCTCAACGTCAGTACAGCACCTTCTCTATAGGATGAACAAAACATCAGTAATTTAGAAGGTATATGTAACTAATATCTCAATCCAAAATAATATTGTTATCACCTTAATGATAGCATAATTCGCGTGAAAAATTAGTTGATGCATTTGGAGACCTCTGTAAAATAATTCATTAGTTTCGAGTCGATAACACCAAGTAACATTCAGATAGCTTCCACAGATTATCTAAAAAAGGCTTGATATGGGCAATAATATTATGAAACGTCTCATGAGAATAGCAATATTACTCTTCGTTTTACATTACAATAACATGCCTTGCTGTTAGATCTAATCAGACATTACATCCTAAACAACTTATTACTGTATATTACAAACTAACCTTACCTTATATATATGGATCGCTTCACATAATATGCCTCTGTTCTATATTCCACAACAACATTCTGAACAACATCACCTCCAAACACTGATGTCTCCAAAAAGTCAGCTTCGCTATCTTCATTGAACTCGGTTAATTCACGGTTGGTTGTGAAAGGGTGAATAAATAGTCGATTCAAATTGATGTCGTCGTGGTGACTGTATAATGATTTCTGTATTTCACTAAAGTTTCTTGGTCCCCAGTAATTGTGTTCAAAGTGATATACCATTAATGGTTTTCTTGTTGCCGAGCTTACTTCATGAACTGCCATAGGGTTATACAATACATTGTTGTGAGCTTTTACACCATAAATCTTCTGACTTAAATCGATGGATGTTGAAACATGGTTATTTTCCAACACATTGTACTCCAACCTAATTTTCATACTTCGGGTAGGATTATTCCAATGGTAGTATGGTGCAATTTTCAGAAGGCTTCCGCCTGTGTTGTTAACAACAACATTTCTCTCCAAGTCGAGGTTAAATGATCCTCCTTCGTAAAATCTTCCATAAAACATATATGCATCATTTCCTGATGCTGCAGGATTTACATTGTTCCCTTCAATATGGTTGTCATGAAATGATAGTCTAGCATTGTTACCAATATATTCCATATACAACGCGACTCCTGTGTTTTCAAACAGTGTGTTATTGCTCAAAATGACAACATGTTGACTACTATATCCTCTTTGACCATAATAATGTACCATCCTTCCTCCAGTATTTTGAATGAATCTGTTGTTCAGAAAAAACACACCGTTGTATTTTTGTCCAATTGGGCTGAAGTAAAATGTACTGTTTGATGTGTCTGAGACAATACCGTTGTTAGCAATATCACAATCTCTTACAGTACAGTTAAACTCCGAGTCGAATGCTGGTTTTGAGTATAGGGCTCCGTGTGTGTTTCTTGATATTTCTGAAGACTCAATGTTCAGTGATGATGTTGAAAGAGAAGAATATACTGCTCCATATATGTTGTCAGTCAATTCACTGTTAGTCACTGATATGCTCTGATACGAACCAGTATAATATAGCCCAAATTGTTGGTTTCTCGTGGACTTTATATTAACAAATTCAACGTTGGACATTCTGTAAGAGTTCTCCTTCCAAACCAAACCATTGTCATGATTCCCAGATGTTTTGATATTTTCCAGCAAAACCTTTGATGCATTTCCTATCACATCAGGTTCATCGAAGGTGATTCCATTCTGACTGGAACCAAATGATTCTATGTCGTGAAATATGGACGGCATGATTCCTGTGATGTAGAGTCCAAGAGTTGTATTAACTAGGGACACGTGTTTCAAAGTAGACACTTTGTTAACACTTGCTGTACTTAATAAGCCACCGCAGGTGATACCAACATCCTCATTGTGGCTGCAGGTATGGCTTCCCCAGCCTCTGTGTCTACATTCGAAAAGCGATGTCTCACTTCCCTCACACGCCATGTCATCTAACCATATAGGGCCTGCACCACCACCAACTGTTCTGTAAGTTGCCCCCTCTACTCTCATACCTTAAATGAATACAACATACATGAAACAAATATGTATTACAATTAATTATATAAGTAAGCTTAATATATATTAAAAAACAGTTTAATATTAAGATCTAGCACAATAAAAAGTGTGCATACCTAGATGTCTACAAGCAACCTTAGCATCATTTATATCGAACCAATCGTCACATACAGATCCCCACTGACCATTATAGAATACTTCAAGTCTTCCCGAGGTAGTATCACCTACCAATCGAAGTTGTCTTTTTTCGTAGGCAGCTACTTCTGCAAAAATTAAGTGATCTTTGCATGTAGTAATTCAATTTAGGTGTTTGCATGACAATCAACCAGGTACAAGATACAGTCTACTTTTGGAACGTCCCCGTAACTGTTATTCATTCAAGCAATTAAGAATTTTGTATCATCCATTGGAATCTTAAAGGCATGCGCTGGTCGATACATATAATACATGAAAGTGAGATGAGTACATGTACATTTAAAAGAACAGGGAAAGCATCAAAGGAGATGCCAGACAGTAATATGTTGAATGTTGGCTAGAGATGTTGAGACTTTAAACAACTGCACCTGTTAGGCCAATGTGTTAACTCCAGACCAATCACTCGTAGAGATGATAAAGATTCGGACTTTGAGACAGGGAAGGTGCAAACAACCCACTAACATATTTGGTCTTAAATTTTGTCCTGCATTTCAGCACTTTCCGGACCTGTTTTTCAATGACTGATGCTTCGGAACGTTATGTTTCGAGGGACAGTAATGCCTGGGTCACATTTGCTCCGATCCATCGGCCGGCGACCGGCCGATTGAGTGTTTTGCTCAATATTGTATTCAGTTTTGAACAAAATACTCAATCCGCCGGGCGCCGTAGTGAAAATCGGAGTAAATGTGACCAAGGCATTAACCTCTTAAAGGATAAGGTATATCGTCGATGCCTTGGTCACATTTAAACTAAAGACCTTTGGAATAAGAGAGCGCGTCAAAAGTTCAGTGTAGCAAAAAAGCTATATCTTATCAGTTAAAGACACCCCCCCCCCCTTCCTCCTTGTTAACAAACTATGTAAAATGTTAACTTGTGCGTTTTTTTACCCAAAAAGATATCATCACATACCTTGCTGACGGGTCTTTCATATTCATTAGATGGGGTCTTACATATTGAGTTTGCAACAATAGTGAAAAAGAACGTCTAATTTGAAAATAATCCCTTATTAATTTTAAGAAATTAAGAAATATAAATAAAGTTATGTACGCATATGTGCAAATGAGAAAGTAAAAGGGCCAACATTGTAATAGAACAAAACAAGAAAATGTAAACCTCTAAGTGTACACCAGATAAAGAAAACAAAGCTCATAAATTCTAAATCATAATCTAACATGAGAGAAATGGGTCTAATTAATACGCCCTCGTCCCTACCATTCAAGTTACATTATCAGAACCTAAAAGCATTAAGACATTGGGCATTTAATGTACACAAAACAGACGCTGATTTATAAATATATAGAATACAAACATACCAATTGTGTCTCACAAGTTCATTTTTGGTACAGTACATAAACATGTACTGGTCAATAATCGCACTGTGATGGCTGAGACACATTTGTTATGTTTGAATTTGATCTCCGTATACTTGTACGTACCAGTCGTGATACTTATACCAGCCCACTTTACGGCAAATGTACGAGAAATGCATAAAATTCTTCTTTCTGCAGTTCCATTCAAGTGTATTTCACCTAAATAAAAATAAGTATATCAGCTTATCAACCCCTTAAAGCTATAACAGAATCGTTTGGCCCATCGTGAAATATGACCTCTCTACAACTTTTATAGCATGACTATACTAATGTGTTTACACAGGGACAAAATGATGTTAAAATAACAGTGTATGTCTTCAACACACTTGGCTCACCTTTTACTTGAATGCCAATGTTCTCAGCAAATTTAAGCACAACACATGGTTCAATAAGCAAAGAAGCCTCCTCCATAACCACAATGTCTGACACAACATCATACGGACTGTCATCACATTTGAGAGTCACGTTTCCCGTAATTTCCCCTCCAATACTTCCATCTTGTCGAAAAAAATCCTCTTTGGTTGACACGTCTGAGTAATTATGTGAGAGAAGATACGGACGAATGTCTAATTCACCGACGGAAGGGTCTCTCTTGTTGTCATATATGCTGGCCGATATTTGTGACTGCTCTTTACTGCCCCACCAGTTGAACTTGGCATTTATATCAGGACCTCCCTTTGGAGACATTACCTTTACAAAAAGTACACATATTGTATATGCTTCTTGTATATACAGTAGGTGTACGATCGATAGATTAAAAGCACATTGAATGTTAAAAATACCTTGAAAGGAGCCTTAATTTAAATTAATATAAAATGTATATGATTTAATTAACAACAATATAATGTGATTGGATGGGATGGGATGTAAAATACCTTAACATTGTAATAAGCTTCTCCTTGAATGTTATCAAACAAGTTGTAGTTCAACAATGTACCCGACTGGACTCTCTGAAGACTCACGGCATTATTGCTGTTATTCAAGAAGACGTTGTAGCTGATGGTGCAGTTGTTTCTTGTACTTGGATTGATAATGACATTGTCGCTTCCAAAGTTGTAGAGGAACCTATTGTTCATGATTCTCGTGCCACTTGTAAGGTCAGATGTCAGGGATAAAGCTCCGTTACTCTCGGAGATCACATTATTGATAATATCAACGGCACTAATCCCGGCTTTTAATCCAATCACACATGCCACACGATTCATTCCATGTATAATGTTTCCCTCTATTATGATTGAAGAAAAATAGTTGATATTTGACAGATCCATAGCATAGGTTCCTCTCGAACTTGTTGATCGAAATGTGTTGTTAACAATCGATATATTGGAAGACTCTTCATAACCAAATCTTGAAGATTGTGTATTAATAGTAACCATCCCGTAATTGTAGCGTGAATTGTAGTCCATAAATGTAGTGTTATATATTGAAATAGTTCTTGGTCCGGAATTGGTCCACGGGGTGTAGTAGAATACACCATACGAATACTGGTTACGGGTTCTTTTGATAATACAGTCTCCAAGTTCAAACATACCATGTCTTATGTAGGCATAAATGGCGTAAGATGAGTATTCCGAAATTTCACAGCCACGAAGTTGGATATCAGTGTGACCACTGTAATAAATGTAAACACCATGACTGGATAAATCTTGAATTGTTACATTTTCAAATACAACACCTGCTTTGCTACTACCTCCATATATGTACACAGCTCCATTGCCACGTGTGTTACGAATGTCGACGTCCTTCATTGTTATGTTGAAAGTTCTCAAGATCGAATTACTTGACGTTTTAATGTGAATTCCAGTATTTGACGATGTGTCCATCTTACTGTTAGTAATATTAATGTTAAGGTATTCGGTTGTAGTATCAGATACATATATGGCATAGTCTGTGTTTGTGATCGTTACTCCTTTAAGAGTAATGTTCCTGCCTTGGCCGTGGATTCCATATGTTGAGCCGTCTAACTGGACATTATTGAGAATTAAACCTTCAAAAATAAAGATTCAACAAATTACACTTGTTTTCAAAGGAATTGGTTAATTTTATTTTGGTTTAGCAATGAAAAATTGAAACTAAAGCATAGGTAATATTATCTTACCGATAGATGATGGAGATCCTATGCGAATTCCTCCCCATTTACCCGTGGGATAATTTCTTCTCATCAATGTTACATCAGTGTCGCTTTCTCTAATGACCAGTTCACCTACATGAAATATGTATTTCTGTTATGCTATCTAATGATAATCTATCTATCTGTTATGCTAATCTACCGATTATGAATTTGGCAAAAAGGGATTGTTTCGTATTTAGTTTTATATAATATTATTTACATAAATTTGATTAACAATTTAAGCAAACTTTCATAAAACTGACGGCTAGCTAAGGAGTGAACTGAGAAATGTTTTTAATACATAAATGGTCAAGGGACTGGTTCAAACGATTATAAGGCTATCAGAATAACAAAATACGAATCGAGATGCGTATAGTAGAGTGGATTAATCATAACTTACCAATTATATAAATTCCGATTCCTTGGCCAAAAGACAGTTTAACTCCAGATTCCACAGTGAGAGTAGCATTTGAAAGTATAAATATGTTGCGTCGAACGTGATAGGTATGATTAAAGACATATCGAATAGTTTCATTGTTCAGTAGCATGCCACCAATAGCACCTGTTGCATCAGAAAAGTAGAAATCTACTCCTTTATCTTCATTCAGTTCAGTCAAATTGCGGTCAGTGTAAAAAGGCGAGACAGTGACATGTGCAAGATTCATATCCCTGTTGTTCCCACATACTCTATGTTTCACATCACCTGGATCAGACGAGCCCCAATAGGAATATGGGACATTAACGATTAAAGCTGTTTTAGATACAGAAACATATAATGCACACTGATCAACGCTTTTGAATTGTTCAAAAGAATTGTTTGCCATTATGAAATTGCCCGTGTCTATCCATAACCAAGGGGATGCAGCAATGTTTGTAAATTTGTTTCTGAAAATATGGAATTTTCCATTAGTATTCGAACTGGTCAATTGAACATCAATGTACCGACTATCAGCTCTGTTGTTTTTCATTGTATTGTCTTCTAAAAATACGTTTGTATTATGGTAGGCCCTAACCAACATAGATTTGAAGCAGTTGGTGAAGACATTATTTGTTATTGTAATATTCAACTCAGACTGTTTATAGTTATTCTCTATTTGCAACGAAGGGTATGAGGTTGCAATGTCCTTGAACACGTTTCTGTCAATACGTATTTCGTCTCCATCAAAGGTGTTGGGGTGCAAATGTAGAGCGCGACTGTTGCTTTCTCCCACAAACGAATTGTTAATCAGTAGAAAACGTCCTCCTCTATAATTGTTATCTAAGTTATAATATATGGTGTAATAGTAGTTATATTTCATTTTTGTGGAATCGATTGTGGTATTCCCACTAATTCTGTAAATATAGAGCCCGTAGTTTCTATTTCCCAGGATGTCTGACCCATTTATTTTGATACTCCCTACTGTTTGATACATTTCTAGACCCCTTTGAGCATTATGTGACAACTCCGAGTCTACAATTGAGATATTTGCGTGTGTGTCTCTGCAATATATACCAGAGCTTTGGCTGCCCGTAATAACTGTCCGTTTTATTGACAGGAACGGATTAGTGACGCTACCCTTGAATTCAATGCCATGTCCGCCATTATTTCCTATGTAGGAATCAGATATCATTGTAGAGTTGGCGAATGATCCTCCATCGGTATACTTGATCCCAGCTGAGCATTTTGTGATGGTCACGCGATCCAAAGTGACAGAGTTGCCTGTTGCTTGGATACCCACGCGAGCTCCCTCTACATAAATGTGTTGGAGCACGGAATCTACAGAGAGAAAATGTATAAGATATATGTATGTATAAGTTAGTACTTGGTGCAGAGGTAAAACGAAACATGTAATGAATTTAAATAACCAAAATATGTAAGCCAATTGAAAGGCCACCGGTCATGAAGAAAGGAAAACCCAACTATCCCAAACCATAATCCAACGTGAAAAGAAGCAATGTATAATCCCTCTGCTTGAGCATTCAAGTTCCATTATCACAATTCATAACATCAATGGTATTTCATCCATACAGAAACCATCACGGAATATGTTGGAGATTACAACGAATAACATCAAAAATCTGTTAAAGCCCAAATACATTTACCAGAGATAAAGTACAAATGAAAACCTACCACCAGATACAAAATTTAGTCCGGACCAATATGATGAAATTTCAGAGACAGCATCATCTGCTGTAAACTCAACAGGAAGATTATCAATCCCTTTTGCTAGAAGATTACCTGAAATAGAATCTGAATAGTAGCATCGTGCATTGTGTATCAAAAGATATCAGTACTATATTCAGCATTACAAAAATCAAATAATATTGAAGTACTAAGAAACAAAAAATAGATGTTATGCATACCATGGACTTCAAAACCAGCTTCAGCTGTTGTAAATATTATCTTGACACCTGGTTGGATGGTAAGAGTTCCTCCTGGTCTAATGGCAACTACTTTTGACACAATATACGGACTGAGATGTAAGAATAGGACTTCCTCACCCTATAAATTGCAAGTAGATACATGTATTATAGGCATATTGTCAATATTATGTTGACGCCTGGTTGGATGGTAAGAGTCCCTCCTGGTCTAATGGCAATTACTTTTGACACAATATACGGACTGAGATGTAAGGATAGGACTTCATCACCTATAAATTGCAAGTAGATACATGTATTATAGGCATATTGTTAATATTATTTTTTGCCTGGTTTGATGGTAAGAGTCCCATCTGGTCTAATGGCAACTAGTCTTGACACAATATACGGACTGAGATGTAAGAATAGGACTCCCTCGACCTATAAATTACCAAAGTAATTCAACAAATCATCAACTGTGTCCTACAAACCAAAAAGACACAGTTGATAAACAGGATGTTTTCAACATTTCACATCCTAAATTGTCACTATAATTGAGTTGTTTGTTCATAAAATTATTTGAGTAAGCATTTTCATATTCCTTAATATTGTATTTCAAAGTTGGCTCTTTTATTACAGTAATTCAATTATACGTAGATTTAAATTAGATTCACCAACCTGAATATCTTCTTCGATAGGCGTGTATTTCTTTTCGGATACTGTCTTTTGACAGCCATAGAGCTCCATTCGTATTCCCGGGCGACTATTCCACGTTGTGGGAAGGATGTGAAAGTATCTTGCCTTAAATACAGTTGTGTCATAAATTGAAATCTATTCTAATTTTAGTAAAACAAATACATTGTCGATTTAGTGATTTTTTATATTTATTCTTATTATTGAGCGATTTTAAAAAGTTTGGTTCATATTATATTTTTATTGTTTAAATTTATGGAATAATGGAATGAGTTACATCACACTTACTTCCATATTCTCAGTTATCTCCACAATGGCAACATTGTGCCCATTGCTGTTCCCCTGTATAATTTCCCTTTTATTGTAGTACAACCAATTGGTTCCATCTACACTGTAAAGAATTTGGAATGTTTTCACCCAATAGGAATGCCCTGGAGCATACCCCTGTAGCGCCATCTTTGTTATTTTATGTGGTTGTAGCAGATCAACCTGAAGCCACGGTGTACTTGAACCATAGTGATGCCATCCACCTAGATTCATATAATATTAACTATAAGAAGTAAACTTACTATTGCATAGTTATTAACCAGACCTCAAAGATGTAAGTTTTCTTGAAAGTATCATAAATTAATAAACACAAGGAGCACACGCGTCTCGAACTCGCAACCTCGTGGTTACGGCGCCCAATCGCCTAGCTCTAACGTGCCGGCGCTCAAGCCCATAGCTAGAACATGGGTCTGGGCCTACAGTAAAAGTAATTACGAAAGTGACAATTCGGGGTTCATGATTTCCACACTTGCAAACATATTGACATTTAGTCGAATGGCCAAAAAGCAACTCACTTTACCGAGTTCATTGCTGACAGTGAAAAGAGAATGGGGAGTTTAAGCCAACCAAGTGGTATAATCAGCTCAAATGCGGATCCTAAAACGTTCATTGCATGTTCAGGTATGGCCAATACATTTGTATTGATCTGATTTATATAACCGTGTAATTTAGATGTAAGGCAAATACACTTTAAAAGTAGAAAATCAATTTAAACGTACTATTCTGGTTAAATCTAGGAAGACCACTCGAGGAAGATGAATAGCTGACATGTCCGTTGCTCAATATACTCCTGGTCAATGGTAAACTGCAGTCTGGAACAATAAAGTTGTAAAATATGTGAGTAAAAAATAATCCTTATGAATTACAGTAAGTAGGAACACAGTTGCCATTGTTGTGTTTTACAGAGGCTTTGATTTTTTCAGATAAGTGTGTGTGACATTTCAGGTGTCCATTTGTAACGGTTAAGTTAAGATATTCTGTCACTGCAGCTGTAAAATAATCAAACAAAACTTACTATCCTCTGGTGTAAATATCCAAGTTCCATTCACAGAGCTAACAGCTAACGAAGTGATGTATTCAGGACTGCTATCTTGCCATTCTACCAGCTGATCGATCCCTAATTCACGACCTTTTCCAAGGGCAATGTTTCCTATGAAAAGAAACACAATTAAATACCAGTACATTTCAGCTTGAAGTAAATATAATGCTGGACTATTATAGTAATGATATCTGAGTTCTGTTGACACCATCTAATGCACTGACTGCAACAGACGTCGTGTAATCAAGATTCCCATTCTACTAGGTGGCTGATTCCTAAGTCACGACCTTTTCCAAGAGCAATGTTTCCTATCGAGAGACTTAATATTTTGACAATGTCAAAGATGCAAACAAAAATCAATAGCTGTGTCTTAATATTGAATGAATAAGATGAATTGTTGACTTGATGTAATTCTTAAATACATAAAGTATGTAATAAATTAATTGTAATACTTTTACCAATATCAAAATCCCAATTCGCCATACCTTACTCACACTATTATAATCATTCATGAGTGATTCTATCTTAAAACTTCAGTTTTTACAACTCATCACTATGCTTGCACATAACCTTGATGAAGTATAAATAAGATGTTTACTGTCACTTTTCTTTAAAAAATCACAATGTTGCAGTAATATACGTTAATAAGCAGGTTACTATCTAAGTTTGTATTCGCGAATGCAACTAACAGCTACCGGATTAACCTATTTATTTGCATAGATTAACCGGATAGTTTGTCGACTAACGGTGATATTTATCCCATTTCTACATGATTGAACACACCGAAAATGTATTTTGCGTCTATGCGCAAGCGCCAGATGTATTTCCACTATTTACCAGAACTATTTACAATTCGGAACACCTCGATTTAATACATACGGGTAATTAAGAATATAAAGTAAAACAGTACCTCGTTTCATTGCTCCTGTCTATATTTAAGCCAACGCTTGTGATTGGTCAACGGAAGCTCACTTCTTTATTAGGATTATTGTCTGTTAACATTAAACTTTAACTCACCATTTGTCCATCCGATCCAAAATGTCACAAATTCATTGCATTTCAGAAGACCTTCAGTCGGCGATTCAGCTCGGGTACATCCTTGTTTGCAAGTACGAATCACAGACTTTGTGTTTGACCATCCTGATATCAAGATCTCGTACATTCGAGAGTTGGTAACACCAAAAATGGCCGACAGCGCAATATACGCCGATGTACATGCCTTTACTTCGAAGACAAGTCCAAGCTTGCCAGTAAGATCTACTTGGTCAATAGGTATGTAGTTTGCATCCTTTGTTATAACAGTGAGTGTCTCTTGGGTTCCTATTATACATATAAACATATATTGAATCAGAAACATATAATAAGATTGATTAAACACTCTCCATTAGAGTCCAGAATATTTTGATCTACTGACTTGCGGAATCTTCATAGATACACTTCCCTCCATAAGTTTGGCAACCCGATTTTATAGCTTTCTGAGATAAAGTAATTAAGGAACAAATGTGAGATTCGGACATTGAAAGGCTTTGAAAGACGATGCTATTCAATTAATACTTCCGTTTGCAACCTTTTGGGGATGGTATATCCAGAATAATTCAACCAATTGACTAGGGCAATCTTTTTAAGCAACTAACCTTCACATTTACCCAGATGCAAATAAGTAGTTACAATATTCTTCACCAGGTGGCAGATTCGGGGTAGATAACATGGCAGGGTATTAGAAAGTTCCCCCTAACTTGAATATTCATCAGTTTTAGTCGAAATATATGTATGGCCAATAAAAGGAACAATATTTCATTTTTTGTGATTTTACAACATGGAGTCATGGGGAATCTCCCCGACAAAGAAGTCACATTTTCAAAGAAAATTAAGTTTTCAAAGTTGATTTGGATTTTGAATTTTTAATGACGTAAATCAAGATAATTTATACTCGCATCTAGTCTATCGATCGTGTGTAGTGGACCATGTATCAATTTATTTCTCATATTTAAAAAGTTTATGTTTCCCTAACCCCAACTTTATACCCTGATATAGTGAAATCAAATGTTCATTCTAGGCACATTATCTGTTATTATTAGTCCACCCGCTATGGCTCAGTGGCAGAGAGAGTCAAGGTTACCAATATCGCTTGGCCCCGGGTTCGATTCCCGGTTCAGACAAGTTTGTTTGTGCGTTATGTAATTCTGGGTGTTTGACTGAGTGGTTCACGACTCGTATAAAAGGCTGTGGTGTGTACCTGTATGTCTGTGTACCTGTGCACATAAAAGAACACAGGGCTCCTCCAAGGAGGGGTTTCTGGCTATATCTTCGAGTGTAAAATACGTAAATACGGAATATACCAATGAGGTATTGCTCGCCAAATATGGCGGTAACCAAGATATAATAATAATAATAATCTGACCAAAGTATCATTTTTGATCATTTATATTTTTCAGGGTCTCGACTGGATAAAGGATGAACAAAATTACTATGTAGTATTACATTACAGGCAGGGTCTAAACAAGGGCGAACGTAATACCCGGAACGTTCGCAAATTGGCGTTCGGTTTTTTACCGCATCCGATTTGAATTAGCCAATAAACATGCACCATTGTCTAATGAAGACCAAACAAAGCCCCGGATGTCCTGTCGTTTATCGTTTCGTTTGGTACACAACTAAGTCCCGGGTATTAAATAAGCCCTTGGTCTAAATAGGTAATGAATCTAAACCATTGATGATATTCCAGAACGCGATTCGAGTAAGAGGGGATATGGTGACCCAAGTGTGCATTTCCATCTCAAAAGAATCAGGTGTGTAGAAATAAAGATACATTAACACAATATAAAGGGTGGGTCAAAAACCTACAAAATTTTGCAAATCATGTTTATAATGAATCGATTTTAATATCATGTTCGCATTAAATGCTGTACAATTGATCCAAAAATGTAATTGTTATGTCTTGTTAAAACGAAAACAAAACGATATCCCGCCCGATTTGAGCTTGGTAACAATTTTTGGAGTCACTCTGTACCTTTGAAATTTTATTATGTTTTATTGACGACTTAGATTTTCGGTTCAGATTCATTAATCTGGATGATTTGAATTTAATTTCATATTTGGCACTTCTTTCACAATATAAACTCACCTGACTGTGCAGTAACCAAGCATTGACAATGCGCAAGAAACACAAGTAGAATCCACCGTAATTCGACTTGCATGGTCCAATTACATGTTCAACGGTTCAATCAACACTCTGTAAAAAAAGAGACGCACTAGACGTAAGGTTGCTTATCGAATGATATAGAAAAACGCAAATGTCTGCATCGCTTAAACAGACGGGGCGAAAGTGTTGGGGAGAATCCAGACATGACATTTTACTGAGGCATAACAAAAAATTGCTCAATTCCGCTTCTTTGGAAAGTAGACTTATCCCCCCCCCCCTGTGAATAATTTCTATCTATGAAATAAAGGTTATTTACAGGTTAAAACGAATATCTGTTGTTGACAACCACACTGATATGCTTGCACGGATGCAGCAAAAACTGCAAATGTAATCGATTTAATTAATAAAAATGAGCACGCAAAACATGTTTGATGCGATGATTCGAAGAAATTCTTTTTGATTATAGACTCTATTGGAATTCAAATTTATAAAAACTATCTGTTTGAATAAAAAGCAAAGTGACATTCTCGAAAATTTCAAATCAATATCGTTAAGCGTGTTTGCCCAAATGGGTGTGCGCAAATGTCAATGTCACCACTTTAGAAATGTTCGAGAAAATAAAGTAATACGGTGAAACTATATTAAGGCCGTCTGAAACTATTGATATAAAAACGATCATTCTTATTAGACATCGCTTCACGTTAAATGTAATATAATTTTTCAAACATACTAGGCCATTTGCTCCGATTTTCACTACGGCGCCCGACCGGTTGAATATTTTGTTCAAAATTGAATACAATATTGAACAAAACACTCAATCGGCTGGGCGCCGGCCGATGGATCGGAGCATATGTGACCCAAACAGTAGGGTCCGAGAAAATAAAGTAATACGGTGAAACTATATTAAGGCCGTCTGAAACTATTGATATAAAAACGATCATTCTTATTAGACATCGCTTCACGTTAAATGTAGAAGAAAGTAGAAGAAAGTATATTAATGGAGCTTTTAAAGCATATCAAACTTACCTTAATGTCTTTGAATCCTTGCCTGCGTCACCACTGAAATATGAACGTGATTTGATCCTCTGTTCTCGCGTTGCCTGAATAGGTTTGTATACCTTTCGTTCAATCAAAATGTTTTTTTGTAAATGGCGATCATTTATATGAAAAGAAACGAAAGTATACGATCATTCTAATTCAGGTTTATTCTAGAATGTATCAAGGACATCTATCCTTAATGTATATCCTGCATTCTTGGAAATTTGACCTATTTGAATAAGTATTCGAAATAGTACGAGGTTCCCTTCCTTGGTGAATACGTTTGATTAAACACCTTAAACCGATTTATTGTTATATGTCACCAAACACTACATTTACATGACCCGACTTTCAAATTAGCCTATCCAAAATCCAAATAGTGTTTTGTTAATCGATTAAGCCAAGATAAAACCGAAGGTCCATACTGCAATATCTCTAAACATATTCGGCCTTAATATATTTTCGCCCTCGACAATAGGTTTTTCCATTCCCTTCCCTCTGATTCGCAGATGTAACTACATACCTCTCTAAACGTCATTAATGTCCAAGGTGTACTGACACCGATATCTCATTCTTTTCACGGCTCGCTATACCAGTGTTTTCACAAGTATATACTGTTAAAACTAACATTAAAATACTCTATATATTTCTTTTGCATTTCACTATTTTCACAATCCGTTACACTTTAGGTGTATAGATGAACAGCTAAACCTAAATTGAAATCCTCAAATGTATCAATTTGCACTTCACCTCATAAGTTTGGCAATTAATTTGACCAAGTTTCCTTTGGATCACGTATCAAACCTGTAAATGCTAAATACAATTCAATATATAGGTATTTAATGTATATCATATTGTGCATAGGCTAATTGTTTAATAAAGATGGCATGGTAATCGATCTGTGCTTATTTATAAATAGAGAAAAAGATAATACTGGATCGGAGCAAATGTGACCCAGGCATTACTAATGTACGTTATGCCTTGGTCACATATGACCCATATGCTCCGATCCATCGGCCGGTGCCCGGCCGATTAAGTGTTTTTTTCAATATTGTCTTCAATTTTGAACAAAATACTCAATCGGCCGGGCGCCGTAGTGAAAATCGGAGCAAATGTGACCAAGGCATTACATGTGTCAAGTGTATTTCTTGATCTTGTATTATGCCTGGGTCACATATGTTCCGATCCATCGGCCGGCGCCCGCCCGATTGAGTGTTTTGTTCAATATTGTATTCAAGTTTGAACAAAATACTCAATCGGCCGGGCGCCGTAGTGAAAATCGGAGCAAATGTGACCAAGACATTAGGCTGCACGCCAATAATTGACTTTTTATCAGCTAGTCTAGTCCATTTACAATCGGGTTATGCGTCGATTAACCCTCAAAATTAGTTATCAAAAGAACACTGTGCAGGATTATATTATGAACGAATACATTCATATTTTACAAGTAAAAAACGTATTTAGTATACTCACCTCTAACATCCGATGTGACATCTATCTGACCACCCTTCATAAGCAACTGGTGTTTACGGCTCAGTTATTTTAATTAGTGGTTGATTAAAACTAGTTCGAGCACACCGTGGGCACTGATGTGGCAAAGAAACGTACACTCCGTATATATACAACTAGAGTGAGCTATTTATAAGCCGACTTATTAAACGAGTAATACCATGCGCATAAAGCTCTTATGAATGCATGCTATTCAAACATTTATAACTGGAGTATATATAAATTGTCTTAGACGTACGTGTATATAGGTTGTTAGTACTTTCACACGGACATAGCTGCTTGAAGTTAGGTTTAGTTAGTTTTCTAATATGATGCCTGCATTCGGACGTTCGACTTAGACCTGATACGTTCGTGGGGCACAGCATTTGGTGTAGGAAGTGTTCGGCACATTTCGACAGGAGGTGGATTATATTGAGTTTGGAGCACATAGAATGCAAACAAAATGGTAAGTGTACAGTTTGTTCATATTTCCTGGAAATAAGGTTAAATAAGTCGATTTTCTATCACCATTTCCAAACCATGATGGTTTGAAAGACCATAGTTTCCAATAATGTCATTGGTACATATCTTAGACTATATCCTATTTAGCCTGAATATATTCAGACTATAAGCCACCTATGTTAAAGTTTGGTAATTCAAAATATTTGTTTACATAGGAAGTGCTATTCAAAATGGCCGATTGGGTAAAATTAATTTGCACATTTGTTACTTCAACTAACTTTATTTCCATTGGACAACATGCTGTCTTACTTTTCATAGCATTTAAGGACAGGGTGCATGTTGGGAAATTTTCTGCATTCCTCAATTGAGTCACATGTTATTTTTCAAACAAGAATAACTCCTTCCCCAAATTGTCTACATCTTCCAAGTTTGCACAAAGAGTGCACTTATGTGCCTAGAAAAGCCTTGTGAGAAGGTTTGTTTTGTAAAATGTATAAAAAATGAGAAAATTCAGTGAAAAAAATTTCTGAAAATTTTCTGATTTTTTTCACTGAATTTTCTCGTTTTTTATACACTTTATCAAAACATCCTTCTCCTAGGCACATAAGTGCACTCTTTGTGCAAAACTGGAAGATATAGACAATGTGGGGAAGGAGTGATTCTTGTTTGAAAAATAACATGTGACTCAATTGAGGAATGCAGAAAATGTCCCATCATGCACCCTGACCTTAATTGTACCTTACTACTTATTGTTATTGTGTTTATTTTTCGGACGTGAAGCTTCCTAAAATTGGTAATTTTGTGCTCAAAACTTCCTGTTTTCCCTCAGGAGGGACATGATGATCAATAGACTGAATTATGAGGACATTCAGTCTGTTGGATAAAGAATAATGTATAGCTTCTTAGAAATTCTCTTATTTTAACATGGGAAATCCTTACTTCAGATCCATAACTGCCCAAACTGTAGTTTTTATGTTTACCCATTCCACTTTGCCATCAACCATTGGGGAATAGACATTTTTCAAGTGCAGCTATACTCAAATTTTCTCCGTCTATAAAAGCTTTAAGGTTCAGCTGGAAAGTAACATTTTGGTAAAAAATTGCGATACCTGCACATGTTATTTTCTGGTACAAAATTAAGTATGAAGGCATTTTTCAATTTCCTTGCTTTTTTCAGGAAAGTATCATTACATTGTCTTCTTTTAGAATATCTGGTAGGAGTTCAATGGGAACTCCAGGAAATTCTGATATTTCACACTTTCTATTTTTCCAAATTTTCTTTCAAAGTTTCCAGACAACACGGGAGCTACCATTGGAAATATGTTCACTTTCTTTTTATGCATCTTTATTAATTATAATCATCATATTAATGAATGTGTTTGAAGCGTTGACAATCCACAACACCCTGACTTAGTCAGAAACACCTTGCCAACATTTAACTGTCATAACTGAAATTAGTAATTACAGGCTCTCCATCTTTGCAATTACAAATACAAACCGTATGTAAAGTGTATGTATTATAGATAGAGAACTTTCTATATCAATAGACTCCACTTGCAGATCCTTTGGTGGGCCAAGAAAAATATTATGAGCCCGATAAGGGATTTGAAATTTGCCCCTCCCCCCATTGACTACATCGTCTATCCTGAATTTTTTGAACTTTTGAATAAAAATATTCATATTATAGCACATATATGTTAAAATGTTGGATTGAAAAATATTTGTGTACAAAGGAAGTGCCATTCAAAATGGCCGATGGAGTAAATTAATTTGCATACATACATACTTCCCCTAGCTTTATTTCCATTTGACATCAGTCTGTGTTAATTTTTATAGCATTTAATTGTACCTCACTACTTAATTGAATTGTTTAAGTGTTTAATTTTTTGGATGTGATTCTTCCTAAAATTGATAATTTCTGCACAAAATGTATTTTCCTACAAGAGGGACATGATGATCAATAGACCGAATCCTCAAGATATTTAGTCTCTTGGATAGGTTACCCCCCCCCCTTTAACTTCGGGATCCGCCAGTGGAGTCAGCTTTATAAACTTCGTTTTCTATAAACCTTTTTCTGTATTTATCAAATATAAATCGTAAGATATCGTACCCTAAAAAGTGAAATTAAGTTATTATCATATAAAATTGAGAAGTGCGCAAGTTGTATAGTTCAATTTAAAACTTATCCCCTCGCGTATAACAATACAGACTTGGTCGACGTCTATTTTAACATCATGATTTTAATTTTTTCATTTTCAGGGTGATTGTACACCATTGTCACAGCTCATCTCATCCAATGCATTGAAGTTGCTTGCAAACACTAGCGAATATGGCGATGGTGACGTAGCCAGTTTACAATGTCTCTCGGGCTATGACTTAAAGGGACCCGATGTCGTCACTTGCGTACTAGGAAGATGGAGCCCTTCACTGCCATCATGCACAGGTAAGGAACCGTTCGACGCTTTGCAGGGACCCCCCCCCCATCTCCATTGCGGGGAGGATGAGGATTTTCACACGGAGTAATTTTCCCAGTGATGGGATTTTAATTACAAAGAACTTTAATCCGGGAGTTATTTTACCTGCTGTTAGTTAAATAAGGGTGGGAAAAATGATCCTGGGGAAGGGAATTTATAGCCAGCCTTGCTTAATTATTCAGTTCTATGACGCATTATGAAATGAATTAGATTCTTAAAATTGTAAAGGTAATTTTGATTTCATTATTCGAATTTGTTCAAAATTGAATCAAAATGATTTTCAAAATGAAATCTATGTATAAAATTACTAGAAATGTATTTTATTTATTGAAATATGTCATACTGCCATTGCTCGCCCTATTTTGTAAGATATTGAAATGATTTGACCTCTGAATAAATTGGCCCTTTGCTATTTATTTTGGCTCTAAATCCTGCATCGTCACGACATTTTCCTTTCATTTTTCAATTACGTAGGATGTCACATTTCGAAGCTTTTAATGTACTATAATTGAAAACGTCAACAGAAATTTCATGTCAGTGAGCGGTTTTGAATTGATAAAACATTGACGCAATGTTAGAAATCCACGTACTGTAAACCCAATTTGATCCGAACGCTACTGTTACTGCCAAAAACTTTTTGTATTAGCAATTGTTCACATTATAATATTTCTTTATATTCGAGTGAATTGGAGATGATAAAATTGAGACAAAAAGCGTTCACATTGAGAGGTGTTCAAATTAGAGACGTGTTCGGATTACACGTTTTTATATTGTATATATTTTCAGCCAAACGTTCGCCAAGTGGCCTCTCAACCGACCAAACGGTCATTATAGTCATCTGTGCAATAGCGAGCCTAATCGCATTGATTGTCATCCTCGCAATGTGTGTCATCTGCTGTAAGAAATCTAAAGACGAAGACCCCACTCCCCCAGAGAAACCAGAACC